ATGATGGAGAAAATACTGATTTATTGGCTGGAATCTTAGAAGCTGCTAACCATGAAGAATACAGGTACACAAATAAAGAACTTAGAGATGATATAGTTGTTCATTTTGCTGCCGGACATGACAGCAAGTATTAAATTTTTTATAATTCACTGTGGCTGAGATTGGCTAATGTTAAAATTTGGGGTCATCATTTGAATCTATAATACCCTTTAAATATATGTTATGTGTTGACAGAATTTTGGATTTTAGGATTAAAGTGTAGATTAATGTAAAATATTCTTACCTAACATTCTAATTTAATTAAGAAACTTTAAATCCATTTAAATTAATTAAGTTCAATTCTCATTTATAACATATATTATAATGCCAATTTCAGCATCAACTTCTACGTTAATTATAAAATACAACTATCATTAATATTTTTTTTTATTCGATACAGCTACTTCAGTTTCATTAAGCGTTGCTTTTTATCATTTAGCAAAATATCCAGTAATTTTAATTTTTCATAATGCTGAATTCTAATTTGATAAAATATAAGCACTTACACTTGTATTTTTTTTCTAGGCTATTCAAAAAAAAGCTAGAGAAGAAGCAATTAAGGTTTTAGGAAGTACTTCAAAATTACCAACTTTTGATAATATTAAGGTATTTTTATATTTACTTACATCATATGAGTGCAGGCAAGGGAAAGCCTCGAACCGACAATTATTCCGAATAATAATTTGCTATTCAGAATAATTGTCGGTTTGAGGTTTTCCCTTGCCGTCACTCATATGCTGTTAATCAAATACTATATTAATAACGTTTAAAAAAAATAATAGGACCTAAAATACATAACGGCAATAATTATGGAATCGCTTCGCATGTATCCACCAGTAGTACAACCATTATTTCGTACTCCTACTAGACCATTAAATTTATCGAGAAACATTACGATACCGAAAGGAGTAAATATTACAGTGAACTTTTGGCAAATTCACAGAAATCCGAATCTTTGGAATGATGTTGATAAATTTATACCTGAAAGGTTTATCAATCATGAAAAAGAGATGAAAAATAATTGGGTTCCATTTTCTGGTGGGCCTAGAAATTGGTATGCTTATTTTTTTCCTAAATATATATGATTGTATTTAAGTATATTATATACAGTATTTATATATTACAATTACAATGTTTTTGCATAGCATTGGCCAAAATTTTTCAATGATGGAACAAAAAGTTATTATTGCAATGACACGTAAGTTTATTTTATATATATATATTTTAGCATAGTAAGAATAATAATAATAATTATTATAACTTATTTATTTATTTATAGTACTTAATTTTGAGGTCTCCTTACCTCAGAATACTCAACACGCTGATAAAATATTACTATCATCATCCTTAATGCTGCATCCCAAAAATTTAGAACTTGTATTTTCAAAGTTGAAGTAGAAAAATTTATTTATTACCACTTATATGAATAACATTTGTAACGTTGTATGAATAAATGAAATACATTAAATATGTCTCTCATTTTTGTATATTACATATTAAAGTTATACATATTCTATCGCTTCTAGAAATTCATCAATAAAAACACTTATACATTAATTATCAATACTGGTCACTGTACGCAAGATTCCATTTTAAAATGGATTTCCGAAAATTTGGATCAAATAATTGTCAAAAATGTCAATCTATATGCATACATTTTTTAGTTTTTGTATAAACAATTAAATAATAACTTTATTATTTACCTTATTTTGTTTCTTCAGAAAAAAGTTGTACAACACGCATGATATTTGTAAGAATAAACAGAAAATAGAAATTTTTACTTTATACTTTATTTATAAACACAAAAAATTTAATTTGTGTACATCAAAAATAAATTTTAATTCACAAATGCGTATCGCGTATCATCCGTATGAGCCTTAATAAAATTCTATTTGTTAATAGTAATCAATAGGCAATTGTACGACGCACAAGCACACAAAAATCTATTGTGTTAACATTAATCGTAATAAGGCTATTGTACGACGCACCAAACCAGGAACGAAAAGTATAGTCTTTATATTTGGATATTCTTATAGATAGACACACATACAGTATATTTTTTTGGGTTAGTTGTTTTAATTTACTGTATCGCAATTGTGGGTAACTTACATTAATAAATATTGCTCAAAATTTTTGATATCTTACTAATTCAATGCAAATTTGAATAGTCGGTTTTAAATAGTCATACCTGAATTATATCCCACTGGGTTATATCCCAACCTGAGTTTTATTCCCATGTTTAAGCAGAATAAATTTCCTTTTTTTTTTATATATCGCTGCCTTATATTCCAAAAATGCTCTGGAAAAAAGGGGGATATGACTGTATTTACGCTTACATCTCTACAACTTGGAGGAGGCTTCAAAAATTTTTTTCTCTTTAACGTTAAAAAAAAAAATCAGATCTAATAAAGGTGACCCAATCAATAAAATCAATTATTAATAATCAATTGATTTATAATAGGGGTTACCTATACTGTAGATCCAAAAATCTAGACCGTACTCCACTTTAAATAAGTTTGGAGAAAATATGGTACAGGCACAAATCAAGGGGATTACTAGCATGATATGCTATCCAATCAGATGTATAGATTTGTACACACCATTTATTCGTTCTTGGTAATGCTACTGTATGACTCTGTCTTGCAAAACCAGGAATGTAAACTTATGAATGATCGATTTATGTCGTAGACTTATAGATGGGTACTGAAACCCAAAAAAGGATTATTATTTGATTATTATTGTTTTAATTTTCTTTTTGAATCTATATCGTAGACTTAAATTATCCATATGACTTTCTTGCAATAACACATATACATTTAACTAATGATGAGCATTAAAATTTTTTCTTATTAACATTACTATATTATTAAATATTTTTTAAAAAATAAAAGATGTTATTCGGTTTGGAGAGTTTTGAAAAACTTAAAATCCGGCTTGTGTAAATAAAATCTTAAAAATTCAGCATTAAAGTTGCGGACGAGCCGCAAATTACATATAAATCTTGGTGCACTAAAGTGCACATGAATGTACGCAAAACAAATAGCTTCAATATATGTATAAATTTATCTTTTGCTCAATTATTTTACTGTATTACAGCAAGAGAACGATCAAATATATTAGGCCACTTAAAGTTGATTGGTTGTTAACGTCAATATTTTGGACTGGACAAAAGAAGGGAGGGAAATTTTAAACAAACACAATTTAAAAATATATATGTCACAGAGTATTTGATATAATTTCACTAGATGGCTGAATGACAGAGATATGCATAACCAGAAACGTGATATATAAGCTTCACAAAGGGATAAAAATGGTTTAAATTATTTCTTAAACTGTATTCGGGGCAAATTTGACCCGAATTTTAAAAAGTATTTGGAATTTTTTAGATAAAATAAAAAATTATTATTATTATTATTATTTAACTTAGGTGGCCTCGCCAGTGGACACTTTATTAACTCATTTATTAGGAAATTAGGAACCGACATTATCTGGCTGCCTCTAACGGTGTTCAGATTTATCCACTACATTATCTAAGGCCTTAGACCTATGCCAGTGGTTAACTTATTGGCTGACCAGGTGTTGTGCCTCATATAGTCACATGTCTATACTGCCAGATTATCCTTATTTCACTTATATACTACCTGGACTTTAGTTTTACTTATTATCTATATCTAGCTAATCTATGTTTCTTATTTTTCTCACCTTTTTGTATATCTACAACCCCAAATTGGTTCTGTTTAGGTTTTTACTTCTTAAATTTTTATATTTGGTATGCCTGTTATTTTTATTATTAGGTTTTAGCATTTGTTTAGAATCTACTAGTAGCATGTATCTCAAGCCAGAATTATTGTTTAATTAGATTCTTATATAACAAAGTTAATATTCTATTGTTAGATAAATACTTTTATTTATTAGCTCAAATATTATTAACCTATATCTCAAGCCTGCTCTGCTGTTACTGTTCTACATATTTTTAGATTTAATATTGTACTTGTACTTGGTACTGTCTTTTTCTATATCTGTATTCTCTAATTAGTATAGAACAAAACTTGCTTTATATCTATACTTAGAATAATTCTAGTTGTATTTAAAGAATTATACTAACTTTAGTGATATTATACTACTTTAAATATTTTTTTTAGCTATTGATAAGTTATAGACTAGAACAATTCTAATTATATTCAAAAAATTATATTAATTTTAATAATGCTATACTGTTTTAATTTTTACTTTTAAAATATAAGGTTGATCTTTAGTAAAGATAGATATATATAATTATTATACAATTATAATATATATAAATTAAATATTTTGAGCTAATTTAAGTAATTTTATAAGCATTGTTTACTTTTTTACCTGTTACAACAAACATGTGAATATATATGATGTCTCAAATGTGATGATCTGAACAA